AAGATAGCGCATTTTATAACAAAAAAGAAACGTTTTGATGTATACTTTAAAATGTTTTGATGATAATTGACTGAACCATGTACATAAACGTAATTATCTCAAAAACTACCAAATGGATTTTGATAAACATTACATCACAAGATAGCGCATTCTATAAGGAACGTTTTGATGTATAATTTTTAATGTTTTGATGATAATTGACTGAACCATGTACATAAACGTAATTTTCTCAAAAACTACCAAATGTATTTTGATAAATATTACATCACAAGATAGCGCATTTTAAAAGGAACGTTTTGATGTATACTTTAAAATGTTTTGATGATAATTGACTGAACTATGTACATAAACGTAATTATCTCAAAAACTACCTAATGGGTTTTGATTAAGATTACATCACAAGATAGCGCATTTTATAAGAAACGTTTTGATGTATACTTTAAAATGTTTTGATGATAATTGACTGAACCATGTACATAAACGTTATTTTCTCAAAAACTACCAAATGTATTTTGATAAATATTACATCACAAGATAGCGCATTTTATAAGGAACGTTTTGATGTATACTTTTAAATGTTTTGATGATAATTGACTGAACCATGTACATAAACGTTATTTTCTCAAAAACCACCTAATATATTTTGATAAAAATTACACCACAAGATAGCGCATTTTATAAGAAACGTTTTGATGTATACTTTAAAATGTTTTGATGATAATTGACTGCACTATGTACATAAACGTAATTTTCTCGAAAACTACCAAATGGATTTTGATAAAAATTACACCACAAGATAGCGCATTTTATAAGGAACGTTTTGATGTATACTTTAAAATGTTTTGATGATAATTGACTGCACTATGTACATAAACGTAATTTTCTCAAAAACTACCAAATAGATTTTGATAAAAATTACACCACAAGATAGCGCATTCTATAAGGAACGTTTTGATGTATAATTTTTAATGTTTTGATAATAATGGACTGAACTATGTACATAAACGTAATTATCTCAAAAACTACCTAATGGGTTTTGATTAAGATTACATCACAAGATAGCGCATTTTATAAGAAACGTTTTGATGTATACTTTAAAATGTTTTGATGATAATTGACTGAACCATGTACATAAACGTAATTATCTCAAAAACTACCGGATGGATTTTGATAAACATTACACCACAAGATAGTGCATTTTATAGGGAACGTTTTGATCTATACTTAAAATAGTTTTGATGATAATTGACTGAACTATGTACATAAACGTTATTTTCTCAAAAACCACCTAATATATTTTGATAAAAATTACACCACAAGATAGCGCATTTTATAACAAACGTTTTCAATTTACCATATGGATTTTGATAAATATTACACCACAAGATAGCGCATTTAAAAAAGAAACGTTTTGATGTATACTTTAAAATGTTTTGATGATAATTGACTGAACCATGTACATCAACATAATTATCTCAAAAACTACCAAATGGATTTTGATAAACATTACATCACAAGATAGCGCATTCTATAAGGAACGTTTTGATGTATAATTTTTAATGTTTTGATGATAATTGACTGAACCATGTACATCAACGTAATTTTCTCAAAAACTACCAAATGTATTTTGATAAATATTACATCACAAGATAGCGCATTTTAAAAGGAACGTTTTGATGTATACTTTAAAATGTTTTGATGATAATTGACTGAACCATGTACATAAACGTTATTTTCTCAAAAACCACCTAATATATTTTGATAAAAATTACACCACAAGATAGCGCATTTTATAAGAAACGTTTTGATGTATACTTTAAAATGTTTTGATGATAATTGACTGCACTATGTACATAAACGTAATTTTCTCAAAAACTACCAAATGGATTTTGATAAATATTACATCACAAGATAGCGCATTTTAAAAGGAACGTTTTGATGTATACTTTAAAATGTTTTGATGATAATTGACTGAACCATGTACATAAACGTTATTTTCTCAAAAACCACCTAATATATTTTGATAAAAATTAATCCACAAGATAGCGCATTTTATAAGAAACGTTTTGATGTATACTTTAAAATGTTTTGATAATAATTGACTGAACCATGTACATAAACGTACCACGTACGTAACCATGTACATAATAATTATCTCAAAAACTACCAAATGGATTTTGATAAAGATTACATTTTAAGATAGCGCATTCTATAAGGAACGTTTTGATGTATAATTTTTAATGTTTTGATAATAATGGACTGAACTATGTACATAAACGTAATTATCTCAAAAACTACCTAATGGGTTTTGATTAAGATTACATCACAAGATAGCGCATTTTATAAGAAACGTTTTGATGTATACTTTAAAATGTTTTGATGATAATTGACTGAACCATGTCCATAAACGTAATTATCTCAAAAACTACCAGATGGATTTTGATAAACATTACACCACAAGATAGTGCATTTTATAGGGAACGTTTTGATTTATACTTAAAATTGTTTTGATGATAATTGACTGAACTATGTACATAAACGTTATTTTCTCAAAAACCACCTAATATATTTTGATAAAAATTACACCACAAGATAGTGCATTTTATAGGGAACGTTTTGATCTATACTTAAAATTGTTTTGATGATAATTGACTGAACTATGTACATAAACGTTATTTTCTCAAAAACCACCTAATATATTTTGATAAAAATTACACCACAAGATAGCGCATTTTATAACAAACGTTTTCAATTTACCATATGGATTTTGATAAATATTACACCACAAGATAGCGCATTTTAAAAGGAACGTTTTGATGTATACTTTAAAATGTTTTGATGATAATTGACTGAACCATGTACAATGTACATAAACGTTATTTTCTCAAAAACCACCTAATATATTTTGATAAAAATTAATCCACAAGATAGCGCATTTTATAAGAAACGTTTTGATGTATACTTTAAAATGTTTTGTACATAGTTCAGTCCATTATTATCAAAACATTAAAAATTATACATAAACGTAATTATCTCAAAAACTACCAAATGGATTTTGATAAATATTACACCACAAGATAGCGCATTTAAAAAAGAAACGTTTTGATGTATACTTTAAAATGTTTTGATGATAATTGACTGAACCATGTACATCAACATAATTATCTCAAAAACTACCAAATGGATTTTGATAAACATTACATCACAAGATAGCGCATTTTAAAAGGAACGTTTTGATGTATACTTTAAAATGTTTTGATGATAATTGACTGAACCATGTACATAAACGTTATTTTCTCAAAAACCACCTAATATATTTTGATAAAAATTACACCACAAGATAGCGCATTTTATAAGAAACGTTTTGATGTATACTTTAAAATGTTTTGATAATAATTGACTGAACCATGTACATAAACGTAATTATCTCAAAAACTACCAAATGGATTTTGATAAAGATTACATCTTAAGATAGCGCATTCTATAAGAAACGTTTTGATGTATACTTTAATATGTTTTGATGATAATTGACTGAACCATGTCCATAAACGTAATTATCTCAAAAACTACCAGATGGATTTTGATAAACATTACACCACAAGATAGCGCAGTTTATAGGGAACGTTTTGATCTATACTTAAAATGTTTTGATGATATTTTCTGTATAAATATATATGTAAGTGCCGGTATAAATTATGATGAAATATACTATCGTACCTATATGAGATAAAAGAGACTATATGATAAATTCTGAGAGTGAAGGAAGCAAGAGGGATATGTTAGGGACATCGGGGAGGTTTTTTCCTATCTCTAGGGAAGAATTGTGTGTGTCAATTAAAGCCAAAGTGGTGGGTGATGCTGCTTAATCTATCTGAGTTCCTTACACATCTATTCTGTGAATTAAACTATGTAATAAATGTTATGATATAAACGTTGTGTATGATCTTAAATTAAATTCTTAAATTAAATTATAATGATTCATGTGCAATTTTATTATTAGGTATTAATTTTGTTTCATGTGTCCTTTATTAGTTTGTTTTTTGTTCCTGTTTAGTTTCTTTTACTCAACAACTATATGTAATACATGTATTTTTGTACTTCTTGCCTACCTTATGTAATTTAATACTTTTTTTTTCTTCTCACAGTGGTTGCCTGGAAGAGATCGCTCGAAAGCGATAAGGCCGCCAGTTGCTCTCCTTTTTATTTAATTATGTCAATTGTATTTATGTATATGCAACGAAGTGTTAATAAATAAATAAATAAATAATAACTACATAAAAATCATCAAACTGTATTAACCCTTGTTCATAATTTCTCTAAGACAGCATGGACTTGTTTAGTGTCTTAGGTTTTAGTTCATTAGTATGCCATATGGATGTTACATATTATTTTAAAGCGTGAATTTTTAACAAACGAAAATAACATATTTGAATTTTCACAGGGAATTCAACACATAGACTTATAGACAGAAAAAATTTAGCGTTTTAAAGGGGCAAAATACATTTTCCTAGCGTGTTGTTCCCTATGCTTGGGAATGTGTACTGGAGTCTAGACACGTTTGCAAATTTCTTAAGATATTGGCAAGATTATGAAGCAATAGTTTTGCATCACTTGAGGAAAATTGCTACAATTACTTATTACAGCTGTTGCGTGTTTATTAATAACGTGATAAACAGCAATGCTTTGTGAAGTAATTACTGGTCATTAAGTACATAGTTGAGAGGTGAATTTAAATAAGTCCTTTCATACAAAGGGACTTTTAGCATAAAGCAAGTACTAAAATTTAGTCTTAATTTACTTTTTGTTTATATAAAGTGCTGTTTTAAACTGTAATCAGTAAATGTTTTGTCTTGTTCCACGTATATAAAAACCATGGAAGAGAATCTGGTCATAGTATAAGATCAGCTACCATATAATTGTGTAATATTTGAAATAAATAAAATAAAAATATACGCTCATTGAAGCATTACATATAGTGCGGTAATGGTAAGCAAAAATATTTAAAAAAGGCGATACATTTTCCAAGAAACATGTTTTTCTAACAAAGAGGACTTACTTCTCTCGTAGCATCGGATCCAGCCCCACAGTAGGTTCATCAAGAATAAGGAGTTCAGGATCATGTACCAGAGCAGCAGCCAATGACACACGTCGCTACTGACCGCCTGACAATTGCTTGTGAAGCTGTCACCTGCTGGTAGCTCCAGGAGGTCGCAGAGGAAGTCGTAACGTTCAGCTAATAGTTTGTTCGACATGCCGTAAATCCGGCCAAAGTAGTATAAGGCATCTCGTATTGTGAACTCGGCGACTAAAGCTATGTCCTGTAAAAATATATAATTTATACAGAGCTGGCACTTTCCTGGCTCAACGAATAAGTATCGCAATACAGTGAGGAAATGCTGCCAGCGTTAAAGGTACACTGCCACAGGGACCAAACTTTTTAAATTTGTTTTGATTTTCATTTAAATTTTTTCTATGATTATTTTGTAGGTTAAGAAAATTGTAAATACTGTATACTTGATTGTAAATAAAACGTTAGTATTTATATTATATAACAATTTTTTAAATGTTCACAAAACCATTTCGAGTCCGACGTATGTAGTATTAATTCGAGGAATTTAATAAATATATCATATATTTGACATTATAAAAAACAATTGTTTTTTTTCTATGGATTGATTCAAACAAGAGCATAATCAAAGCGAGAATGCATGTTTTATGTGATCACGTGGATAATATATAGAGCAAAAAAATTAAAAGCAGTTGACCCTGGCTTCAAAGCCAGGTACTAAAATAAAATTTGTTGTTTTTGTAAAGTTTCAGTGTAATAATTACGATCAATAAAATGCACGCAAAAATTTTTCTTTCTATAACTATTAACAAAATACACGTTTTATATCTTATAAATCAGCCTATTTATGTTATTATATTATATATAAGGTATTTTTATTACTTATAAATAAAAAAATATGGTTTCTTTAAAACTTTAACATATATTTTTACCATAGCTCAATTCCTCAGGTATTTAAAAAAAGTATATTTATACTTTTAACTAAATTATACGGTTTCTAATTTTTGTTTAATGGTATGAAACAGCATTAGCGCTCTTAATCTTGTTTTTCGTTATTGAAGATTATATGTAGTCTACCGTATTTTGTTGAAGAAAGAAAAAAACAATTATAATCCCAAACAAAGTATTATTTGTTGTTCGAACAAATAATACTTTGTTTGGGATTATGGGGTCTATTTCATTCAAACCTATTTCACGACAAAAATAAATTACATAATTATGGTCTTCTAACTAACCCTTATAATCCAGTAGCCCTACTACAACCCCATGGGTCTTGGTTTCATATGGTTTCAACTTTCAACATACGAGTTACATCCCTGACATTCGATCTCCGGCTGTGCGCACCAATGACCTTCTGTCTACGAGTATGTGCGCATTTAACACTCGATCGGTGAAGGAAAACATCGTAAGAATACCGGCATTTTTTATAGAACATGGGGTTAACGGGCTTACCAAATGTTAAGTATCCATGGACACTCTCAATACCAGAAGACTCGCGAGTGCGTTACCGGCCTTTTAGGAATTGGTACGTTCCTTTCTTGAAGGACCCTAAGTCGAATTGGTTCGGTAATACCTTGTGGGCAGCTAGTTCCACATAGTGGTGGTGCGCGGCAGAAACTGCCTTATAAAACGCTCAGTTGTGGAAATACATGGCATGCCTGTCTCAAAATCGAAAATCGACATGTGTCAGAAGTCTGATCACCTATTTGAATATGAAGTAAATATTTTCACATAAACAGTCGCAATCTGAGGCCACTTGATTATTATTATTAATATGAAAATTATATAAAAACGTAGTAATACTTTACATTATACGTCTGATTATTCAATAAATATAACTATTGAAAACAATTGAAACACGTCATAAAGATCGTGAGTTACATATATTAGCACCGTTTCTATGTTCGATGCATTATGACAGACACTTATACTCGTAAGCAACTGCAGAATTGTCTTAGTAGGAGATACAATTAATTCGTTAATTGATTTTTTTTAAATCAGGCATAATAAATACATATAACTGTTGAAGGATTTTTCTTGGAATTTATTTAAAGATTTCCCGGCTATGGTTTGGAAAAGCTATCCCAATATTTTTAAACCAACACACTTTAAACATTAATTATGCTATAATAAATATAAGTCATTATTATACATATTAACACATCAAAACGTATTTAAAATGGATGTTCGATCAATGAGTTTACTACAACCAAGTAAGAGTTTGGTATTGTCATTATTATTATTGTTTGTATTAAAAATTAGGGTTAGCACTTCTTCACAATTCTTTTTTTCTACTATTTTCTTTAATTAGGGTTACCTAGAAGACATCGCTTAGATGCGATAGGGCCGCTGGTTCTTTTTTTTAAAGTTATACACGTTTTAATTAATTTCATCATTAACATAACAATCCCGAAAGCAGTTTTTTATATATAAAATAACGAAAACGAGCCTATGGAACACCCAAAAAGGGCAGCTATCGCAGCCCATGAACATATATTTTTAGTGGGTACGTTGCCGGCCTTTGAGGGCCGCTAAGCAGTGTCATTGATATTATTAAGGTTTTATTATTATCGTTATCTGGTGTAGAACAGTAAGCCTAGCGGTATCAGCGACTCTCATACCTGAGTGTTCTATCTTCGGCTGTCCACCAGTGGGCATTCTTGTATATGCGCATTTAATACTCGCTTGAAGGAAAGAATTTTGAGGAAATCGGCTTTAGACCCTACAAACGAAGGCGTATTTGGCGTTGAAGGCTGATAACTTGCTTATTACATAAAGCAAATGACCACGAAACATATATAGGCATCAGAAGCCCAGACCTAAAAGGTTTTTCTACCTAAGGTGTAGTCGATTCACGAAGGACTAAGTATTTTTACTTTATCTGTGATGAAAGAATGCGTATAGGAATGGTGACAAGATTTGAATTTCTATTAAAAACTTCAAGTAATACTAAGTCGTGACTGTCATTTGTGACTTTGTTCGCATTGTCCTTCGCTAATTTAAGCTTCTTTTTTATTAAAAATAAAAATTCTCAAAGAAAATCTCAAAAATGAGACTCGCGACTTAATTTTAATAATATTTGCACCTTATAACCGACTTATTACCTCTACGCGGAAGGTTGTATGCTTAAACTAGTAGATACTTTACCGACATTAATTACATATAAATAATAATATACATTTAAAACTCGTTAGCAATTATTATGGAATTATGTATGTGTATCCTGATAAAGTAAAAACCCACATTTTATTTAAATTCGTTTGAATATCGATTTTATTTAAATCATTGAAATATAGTTTATGTACCCAAAAACAATTATTGTTTCACCGGAAATAGAATCCAGTTTTTATTTATGACGGATAAATTTGAAACTTACCTGGGGCATGTACCCCACACGGGGTCCGGGAACCCCACTGCCCTTCTCTCCAGGTTTGCCACCCAACACCCATATGTTTCCACTGTCCAAATGTCGTCTGCCGACGATACACGACAGAAGAGTGGTTTTGCCGCACCCAGACGCGCCAAGGAGGCCGTAGCTGTAATAAATTAGAACATAACAATTGTTTTTAAAGCTTCCAAATTGATTACTTTTTAAAGAATATATGTTGTATTTGTACAACAATAATACATGAACTACACTTTCCCAAACTTTGGTCATAAGTAAGATAATGTGCGTTAAAACTGTACTATTATTTTCAATAGAAACTACGATTCATAAGAAAATCCTATCGTTAATTTAAATATAGAATCCGATCGTAAACAAAAAAAATATTTGTTACGTGTTTTAGCTTTATTGTCGACTATCCTGATCATCATTTAGTCAGCTAATAATAGCAGAATAAATAACAATAGGCGTTAAAGTAAATCCACTTTTATATACAGGTATGTAACTTACATTGTGCCCCTTTCGACGGTCATGTCCAAATTCTGAAGCACTGGTTTGTAATCATTTCCGCCCTTTTTACCGTAATACTTGGATGCCCGCTCGACAACAACAGCCGGCGTCGCCATCTTGGAATTTTAAAATTTGAAACTTCAGTTGGCGCGCATTTTATGTTATCTGTAAACAATAAATAATATTTATTAATTTGTATATTTGATTAAGATATTGTGTGGCGTTTGGCGTGAATTTGGATAAGTAGTGAAGGACTAGAGACTAGAAAATTAATTGAAGTTTAGATGTAGATGGAATCTTGAAAATTTATTACTTATTTCAAGTATATCAAATATGGTAATAAATAATATATGTACGTATTTGTCGAGGTTGATCATAAAATTAATCTATTTATTATGGGTTCAACTATTTCATAGGGTAATTTATTAATCGTTTAGGTTGTAATAACATGAAATATATTAAGTGAATTGTTTCTTAAAACTCTACTTATTTAAATATAATAATAACTTATATTGTATATATTTACGGACCAAACTAAGATTTAAAAGATTGATTAAGTTAAATGACGTATAAGATTTAATTACGTACCATAAATTTAAATATCTACTAATTATTTAATAAGAAGACACAAGTCACTTCCATGATAGTTAATTAAATAGTAAAGCTGAGCTAAGCTGAAAATAATTGTTCATAATTAAGTTATACAAAAACCATTTTTTTTCAGGAATAGGCCTTTGGACTGGAGCTATGGAGAATTTAAATGTACATTTCCTTTTGAATTTAATAATAACTTGCCTTGGATGTTTCAACTGTTAGCGAAAAGAAAAATATTTTACTGTTAAAACGATTAAGTTGACTTATTTTGGCTTAGCAATTCTTTAGAAATAAAGAAAACATTTTATGAATTATATCTGCCTACCAATACTAAGTATTGGTGGGTAGCACACAGGTGCAATTTCCATTTACCGTATAAGAGAATTATCTGTATTGGTTCTGCCGCGCCTCAATGATTTTCTCGGAATTCAAATCTGTGACCCCGATCTAATAGATTGCATACATGTGTTACTGAGCGTGGTTATAAATTATTACGTTAATAATTTTATAAATATTCATCTACTCGAACATATAATTTTAAAGTTTTCTTAACTCTTTCACTTTCAACTTGTGCAAAACATTATCAAAGTGGGTCGTGCCAACCGGTTCTTATGACCAGGATAACTGGTATGATTTACGACAAAGATCGGTAGGCACAGGAGGGTGACCAACTTTTTAATTACGAGATTAGCAATACCCCGGAGGTCAGGCGAATCGTCAACTCCGTCGTAAATTGGTTCTCTCTTACCGTTAATAGTTTTATTGATATTGTTATTGCATTCATACTCTTTCTGCACGCCTGTATGCAGTGATTGTCAGGATCCTTCTAGACGTAGAATAGACTTTAAAGTTTAGAATATTTATACTCTGTATCTATTTGATATAGTAGCCTGTGACACAGGCACAGTTTACACAGTTTGAATATAGTGCTAAATAGTAAAAATATGTTTGACAAAATTAATTACGATATATTTCAATCATGTCGCCAGATGATCACTTAGGCTAGTGGAACGGCTGCGCAATAATTACGTAGGTCACCGGAACACTGAACTAGCCTCATTACGTCACAGTCGACATTCTAAGACCTCTCAGTGGTTCGCCATTTTGGGACCAAATTTATAAAGAGTGCATACGGCTATCACGGACTAATAGAAATCCGTGAGAATTTTGGTCTTCATAGACTCTATATAGACTGCTAATTTGGAGTGTGGTAAAAAGGAGCAAGAAGCGCAGTTTTTAACAATTAAATTCGTAAACATTAAATTACTTTTAACTCGGCAGAAATAGAATCAGTTGAAGTATAAAATTTATCAACATTAAAAATGTAGTCCTTAAATTTTATGATCATTTTGTATAACTAATTGAGTTTCTCTTCTTTTAAGAAAATGTGTCGTATAATATTAATGTACTATGAATAAGGAATTAAGACTACTTAGATGAAGTAGATATCAAGTAGACATTGCTTAGAATTTCAGTCTTATGGTCATTGATTATTCATGTTAACTTTCATTTCATTTCATTTACAATAATTTACAGCGGTGATTAGCAAGTGTAGACCAATATGAATTATATGAGATCTGTGAAAATTAAAAAAAAATGTTGGATGGATATTTTCCACCTCACCAAAGAGTATATGATGAAATATTTGAAGAGGCGGAAAGACTTTGGCTTTGTCCAGCATTTACAATCTTTGAAATATTAAATATTGATTTATCGTTTGTTTAATGTTAAATTTCTTTATTATTTTGTGTATACTTACGTTTTCTGTTTCATATATATTGTTTATCTATGTTATCTGTTTTGGCTTTGTATATTGTTTGTCTAAGTGTTTTGTTCATAATATGTATGCTGTACGATTACTAATAAATGAATAAATAAATATTTTTTTTATAAGTCCTGGTGACTTACGCCCACACTCGTTTTTTAAGAGTAGTATGACATGCCTTTATGCCTTCGACAATTATTAAGCTATTGCATAGCTTTTATCGCGGGCTTTGAGCGCGAAGACCGAATCAAGAAATTCCGTAACGAAAAAAACCTAACACACTATGACGTAATATAGGTGCGGCCATACGCGATAGAGCGGGACAGAACGCATACTGTATTCACATCTCTCTGACGAGATCGGTGACGTAGCGTAAGCGCGGCCGGTGCAGGCGGTACGCGTTAGAGTGAGACAGACTATATAGGCGTGTTAGTCTGAGTCTGGTAGAGTCTATCTCCCAAGATTGAATTAATATCAAAGAAAATACTCCAAGAATAAAAAATAAATGAATAATTATAATTGCATAAGTTAATAAAAAATGCTATGCAATAGCTTTACCGCGGCAGTCCCCGAGTGCCACACGTTTTTATATCCTACGTGAGTACAGAAACAAGTGAGGAGGATATTATTAGTTATATTAAGGCAAAAACTAATGAAACTGTTACCTTAAAAAGAATAAATATGAAAACTACGAAACTGTATAATGCATATAAGGTATTTGTTTCGAGACATAAATTAGATTTGTTTTTGAATGGCGAATTTTGGCCTAGCGGCGTAACGTTCAGACGTTTCGTCCAGTTTTTATATAAAACGAAACCTGGACCGGTTAAAGTTAATTAAATGTGTAATTATGAATAGGAATAAGAAGATATATTGTAAATTTTGTACTTTTAATTGTAAATCTATCAAAAGATCGATTGATTGTGTTCGATCAATGTGTAATGATTCGGATCTGGTAGCTTTACAGGAGACCTGGCTTCTTCCCCATGACATACCTATACTAGGGACTATTTCCAATAATTTCGATTATACAGGTAAGTCTGCAGTGGATACATCTGCCGGCTTACTGACTGGGAGACCTTATGGGGGAGTGGCAATTCTCTGGAGAGTGGGTGTTTTTGGTACAGTTTCTGTTATTGATTGTAATAGTCCTAGGTTAGCAGCAATTCGTGCTACCACAGATAACCGATCGATTCTAGTTTTTTCTGTGTATATGCCTACTGACTCAATTTATAATTTAACTGAGTTTACGGAGGTTCTTAGTGAAATAAGTGCTATCGAAGTAAGTCATGATGTGGAAAGTGGGTGATTTTAATGCACATCCTCAGGAATTATTCTTTAGGGAACTGCTTGGCTTTTGCTCTGATCAGTCGTGGTTGTGTGCAGATGTTAAAAAACTGGGTATCTCTTTGAGTAATTACACTTTCTGTAGTGAGGCTCATGGAACGAGACGATGGTTGGACCACTGCGTTGTATCCGTGTCGGCTTGGCATACCGTTATTAATGTAGAAATTAAAGAAGATGTGTATATGTCTGATCATTTGCCTATATTCTTGGAATGTGATTTGGGGGTTGTCAGATATAAGAATCTGATCTCTGACCTGTCACGTAGTGCAGTTACCTGGGGTGAAAGAGATAATGCTCAAATAAATAGCTACCGTGATCTTTGCAACAATTATTTAAAAGGAGTCGATTTCCCTCAGGAGCTAGCCAGCTGCTGTCACAGATCATGTTCATTGCCAGGGCACAAGCTTATCACTACATAGTATAAAACAAAGTCGCTTTCTCTGTCCCTATGTCCCTTTGTATGCTTAAATCTTTGAAACTACATAACGGATTTTGATGCGGTTTTTTTTAATAGATAAAATGATTTAAGAGGAAGGTTTGTATGTATAAAAACATCCATTAAATGTTGGAGAAGTACTGTTATTTTTGAGTTTTCTAATGTGATGTCGTAAATAATTACATTTTTTCCGCTTACATTGCAAACGCAGCCTGAACCCTACGAGTTTTATCAAAATAATGTACTAAGTATTGTACACATTGAAAAGGTCTACAGAAAAGTCCGTGATGGTATATGTCTATCTCTTATGGATAACCCACTGTAATGTCCTGCTTCTTGGAGTGATTTACGGCTCACCGTGTTGGTGAGCCGTAAATCACTCACAACACTTGTACAAACGTCCTACACACAACCGCTCCGTTCGGATGTCGGATTACGACTGACAGTCTGACAAGTGACGTAGGCGCATGAGACAACCAAGCAACACTTTATTTAGTCAATACACTACATCCCTTTTTTGTTTTATTTGTTTTTATTGATTATATCTCTCTGATTACTCATTAATGTAACTTGGATGTAATGTGATGGATTTTACATGAATCAAACATAATTAATGAAAATAAAGTTTTATGCAGCTACACTAGGGTTCCGACATTCATTTCCTCGTCGTTAACTTCATTTCTTTTCAGACATTCCATTCCCCTTGAACTCTTTTCAAATGTACAACGTCCCTCCTTCGACCGTTTGACCGGTTTCATCGTTTCTTACCGTGATATCACCTCCTTTCGTGATTTCCAATGTGTGTGCCTCTGGATTTATTTATTTTAATTTTATTATAATTTATTTCCTTTATTCATAATTTTATATACACTATGTCTCCTGGTATTAAATCACACTATTAAGCCTTCCGTTTCCTGTCTCCGTTTTCTTTTCCCATTTGTTTGTTTTTGATCTCTATCCTTAACCTCAGTGTCTTGTGCTGTCCTCTCTATTGTATCGTTTACCATAGGTAATTTATCTCTAAACTTCCTTTTGAAGAAATGTACTGATGGGGTTCTTCCAGTTTCAGTCTTTATTTTCAGCCATACTTATTTTAAGACGTTTAAGTATGTCACGGTTTTGTCTTTCGACCTCTCCATTTTGTTGCGGCCAGTATGGTACTGTATTGAAAAGAATAATGTTTCTTTCTGTTAGAAATGATTTGAACTTTTCGCTGATGAATTGTCTTCCATTATCTGCAGTTATTGATTTCCTAATCGACTGAAAATTCCTTTAGGTTTGGCTACAATTTCAGTAGAGGTAATTTTGCGACAAATCTTCACTTCTTTATACCTGCCGTAATAATCGACTATAACAAATATGTGGTCACCACTTGTAATGAATTGCGATATCAATCCAAGGCCCTTCTGGCAACTCACGCCGTTTCATAGGGTTTGGTGGACATGGTGCAGATACAAGAGTACATCCTTTACAGGCTTTTACAATATTCTCAGCCTTTTTGTCGCATCTAGGCCACCAGACTTTCGTACGAAGTCTCGCCTTCATTGACACCATACCTGGATGTCCCTCGTGAGCTGCATCCAAAACTCTTTTACGGAGTGCCGAGGGAACCACAATTCTCATTCCTCTCAATAATATACCCTCATGAAAATAAAGTTCATTTTGTAAGATTTTATACAACTTCACGTCGTCGTTCCATATGTTCCGATATAAAGCCTCTTTCACGTTTAGTATTTCCCTATCGTCCATTGTGCTATCTATTATTTATTTAATAGAAACAGCACGAGGTCGGGCAAACTCTACAATATGACAAATGTGATTGTCTTCCAATTTTATCAGGGATTTCTCCGCATTTTTGCTTATTTGTTGTCTCGACAATGAGTCGGCAATATTGGTTTTCCCTGGTTGGTAAACTATTTTATAGTCGTACGATTGTAAGCGCATAACCCATCTCTCTATCCCTGCCCATGGTTTAGATTTAGGCCAAATATTACCTCCAACGGCTTGTGATCTCTTATAAGTTCAAATCTTTTACTATAAAGGAATATGTGGAAATTTTCCACCGCCCACACGAGAATTAACGCTTCTTTTTCTGTCTCGCAATAGCGGCGTTCACAGTCAGTCTGAGTTTTGTGGCCATATGCAATAATCCTGGGCTCACCTTTGGAATTAGTTTGAACTAAGACTCCACCTAAATCCACAGGACTAGCATCTGCTATGACAATCGTACGATCGCTAACATTATAATACCCTAAGCTAGAAATATTTGTCATGATTTCCTTCAACGACTTAAAATACCCCTTTTGTTCTGGTCCCCAGTTTTCGTTTACATGATATGACAAACATGAGTCTCTTGTATCTTAATAAGCCTTTACTGGTTATAAAGGTGGTTGTTTCTTGAAGCAGGATCTATGTATTCAAGTTGGTGAAATGCATCTTTAATATCCAATATTGTAAATACTTTTGCATTTTTCATTTTAGGTAGCAACTTGTCCATCGTCGGCAATGGGTAATTTTCTCATACAATGGCTCCCATCGTGCACATATTGAGGTAGATTTACCGTTACAGTCGAACTTTTCCAGTAAAGGAGTGACATCTTTGGGGCGACCAGGAATTTATCAATTTAATGATTCAGATATCTATGTATCTGCAGTTAGATTTGATCTCAGATGCTTCCATCTCGTATCAATTAAATGATCGGATTATATTTTTATCCGCATAAAGCTACTTAAGCCTTCCATACCAACAAACGTATAAATTTAATTATCAGATTTTGAATCTGCTAAGTTTGTAGATTTTATCTTAGATGATCTTGTATGAATTTAATGATCGGATTATATTTTTATCCGCATAAATCTACTTAAGCTGTTCATACCAACAAACGTATAAATTGAATTATCAGATTTTTAATCTGCTAAGTTAGTACCCACTAACGTACAATAATAATTTTATTGTAAAGCTTTTATTTTATTTATTGGTATCAATTTAATGATCAGAATTTTAATCTGCTTTTATTTTTATTTACTGATATCAATTTAATGATCAGACTTTTAATCTGCTTTTGTTTTTATTTACTGGTATTAATTTAATGATCAGACCTTTAATCTGCTTTTGTTTTTTATTTACTGGTATCAATTTAATGATCAGACTTTTAATCTGCTTTTATTTTTATTTACTGTTATCAATTTAATGATCAGACTTTTAGTCTGCTTTTATTTTTATTTACTGGCATCAATTTAATGATCAGACTTTAAGTCTGCTTTTATTTTTATTTACAGATATCAATTTAATGATCAGACTTTAAGTCTGCTTTTATTTTTATTTACAGATATCAATTTAATGATCAGACTTTTAGTCTGCTTTTATTTCTATTTACTGGCATCAATTTAATGATCAGACTTTTAGTCTGCTTTTATTTTTATTTACTGGCATCAATTTAATGATCAGACTTTTAGTCTGCTTTTATTTTTATTTACAGATATCAATTTAATGATCAGACTTTTAGTCTGCTTTTATTTTTATTTACTGACATCAATTTAATGATCAGACTTTTAGTCTACTTTTATTTTTTATTTACAGGTATCAATTTAATGATCAGTTGGGTTCCAACTGCTTTGAGTAGATACTCCCTTTTGTTTTACAGTATTAATCACAACCACATAGTTTTAATTAATTTAGTGAACCAGATCCAATTTAGGGTCTTTGTTAAATCTGCGTTAGTTAGGTAGACAGGTACCTACCGATTTAACGGTCAACGGTTGTAAATAAACCTTGCTATTATTTTTATTATTATTATTATTATTATTTTGTAGACAAATAGAAACATCACTAAACACAAGCATAATCTTAGTATATATAAATTACTGGTCACATTGTTTGTCCGCTATGGACTCCTAAACTACCGAACCGATATCAATCAAATTTGCACACCGTGTGCAGTTTGATCTAACTTAAAAGATAGGATACATCTCAATTTATACCCGCAATATTATTTTATTGCAAAATATTTGTTTCTTATTTAATAGCCACCATTCTAACAGAGGGCGCTGTGTTAAAAGTACCAACGTTTCATATAATTCTTTCAACGTTTCTACAATTTAATGGCATAACCACCATAAAGCATGGTGGTCCCCATGACTGGTGTTCTCCTACCGTTTCCCTTGAATAGTTTACTACTTTGTAATATAACAAAAACCTTAGCCACAGCAACGCTTGGCCGGTCTACTAGTACAATATATTTCTATCACTATGTAGGTAGGTGCTACAAAACAATCGTACATTCAATGGTAGGTACCTGGTGTACCAGGTGTAGGTACCCGTAGTTTAGATTAGCTGAACCTATAGGTAATTATTTGTTTATATCCTTAGCCCAGTAATTGCAGAGGTTTGTTGCTTACTGTTTAAATGTAGGTACGACAATATTAAATATTGTAATACAAGCAAAACATTTATGAAATATGAAAACAATAAGTACCTAAGTGCTGTTCATAATTCCCGTCAACAATAAAATTATCTACATTCGTTCAGAAGCCAAGATGCAACTGTTTCTGCTATCAATAGCTAATGATTAAAACAACCGGGTCCTAGTAAATTATAGGCAAAGTACTCTGGGAATGACGTCACTTGTTTAGTGCACCGTATCTTTCCCTTTTTTTTTTTTACTTATGTGTACTCACTTTTTTCCTCGTCGCCACATGTAATGTCCTGCTTCTTGGAGTGATTTACGGCTCACCAACACCACAACACTTGTACAAACGTCCTACACATAACCGCTCCGTTCGGATGTCGGATTACGACTGACAGTCTGACAAGTGACGTAGGCGCATGAGACAACCAAGCAACACTTTATTTAGTCAATACACTACACCCACAATAACTTTTTTTGTCATTTACTTTTTACGACAAATAATGGCTAATTTTCGAAGCGATTTTAACCAATACAGCATTAATCCTTAACCAATTTACCTTGACTACATTGTTCATTTAATATAGATCTATATGGCATTTTACACCGTATGATTTAAGTGAATATTTTCGAAGATATTACAGATTTAAAAATTGCGGGACGTAGCGTTTGCGGCCGCGGTTTTCCCTTTAGCACTTTGAATTTAGCAGCGATCGGACGCGTTTATTATAAAAACGTGCTTTTCAGCGCGACAACGTATCAGTAATTATAAGTTAGTTACGATAAATAATTGTATGATAGTAGTTTAAAACTCAGACAGCTTCGGGATAGATATAGAGCTGAGAGAGAGAGAGAATCTTTAGTAAAGCGTGAGGTTCACCGCAGCCGAGATAGGGAAAGACATCGAATAGAAAGCCAGAGAATCATCAGCACGAGTTACTAATTCATGGGTGAATAAATAAAATTCTGCCATGAATTACGATCCTTCGATTTCTTACAAGGACGATCGTATAGTATCAATAGGTACTATGTCAGTAGTGTGTGAACATTGCTTGGCATTGAAATTCAAGGACGAATCGAAAGGCATGTGTTGCTTACAAGGAAAAGTCAAATTAGAAGAAGTTCTCCTTCCACCTGAACCACTTCACTCTGTTCTTACGGGTGATCATCAGAATCCAAGCAATTCATGCGCAATATACGCCGTTATAATAACGCATTTCAAATGACCTCTTTTAAGAGTAAGCAAGTCGTTGAGCGTGGGTTCATGCCTACATTTAAAATTCAAGGGCAAGTGTACCACTTAGCTGGGAGCTTGCTACCACTTCGACCCGATGATCACAAATTTCTGCAAATATATTTTATTGCAGATCCAGATACACAAGCATCTACGCGGTGTACAAGTGTTGCACAGCCAATTGATAGAGATTTGATTAGATCTCTCCAAGATATGTTACATTCTCATAATTGCTACATACAGTCTTTCAAAACTGCGATTGAGAGTGTTCCAGCAGATAATCCTGACTTTAATGTCGTAATCCATGCAAATAAAGTTCCTGTTGGAGAACACAGAGGACGATACAATGCGCCTTCCACGAGTGAAGTAGCAGTGGTGATAGCTGGACAGCAATTTGACAAAAGAGATATTGTATTGCATAGTCGTGATGATAATTTGCAAAAAAATTCAGAGTTACACAGATCTTATGACAGCTTACAATATCCTTTGATGCTATGTCGTGGAGAAAATGGTTATGCCATTAATATTTCTCAAGTTAACCCAATCGGTGGTACACCTCTGCGTAAAACAGTGTCATGTATGAACTACTATTTATGACGACGATTTTATGACGACTCATTGGTCTAGTGGTTAGTACCCCTGACTGCGAAACCATGGGTCCCGGGTTCGATCCCCGGCTGAGACGAACATCGATGTGATGAGCATTTGATGTTGTGCTTAGGTCTTGGGTGTTTAAATATGTATTTATATGTCTATCTATGTATAATATGTATGTATATCCGTTGCCTAGTACCCATAACACAAGCTTTACCAGCTTAGCATGGGACTAGGTCAATTGGTGTGAATTGTCTTAAAAAAAAAAAAAAAAAAAAAAAAACTATTGCTACCGTATAATGACAAGACGTAACAATTTCAATACTTTGCTTAGATATGGAATGTTAACAAACCAATAGGTACTTGGTAGATCAATATGCGAAAATTGAATCTGAGAGATTGGCCTACATCCGTAATAATCAAACTAAATTGAGAACTGAAAATTACGTTCATCTTCGGGATGCTTTACAGGCGAATGAACACCGCAACGGCATTGGGCAGTTGGTTATACTACCTTCATCATTCACAGATGGACCTCGATATTTACACGAAAAATCGCAAGACGCCATGACAACGTTCACAGTTTTTCTGTAGTGTATTTAGTATCAGCATTGCACCCGTGCGAAGCCGGGGCGGGTCGCTAGTTTTAGATAAATTATATCAAACAATAGTTAACATTTTATCTGAGGCTGCTGTATCAACTCAAGTGATAAAGCACAGGAAATTTAGACAAAATAAGTTATATGGTTGGAATAGACATGTTCGAGAGGCTCGCTTGGAGGCTCGGCTTAGATTCAAGTCCTGGTTATTTAATAATCGACCTACTTCAGGGGCGGTTTATGAACAAATGTGCCTTTCTAGAAAAGTCTTCAAGAGTCGCCTGAAGTGGGCTCAAAATAACCAGGAGCAGATTAAAATGGATTTAATAGCTGAGCAGAGAGCCAACAAAAACTTTGTTCAATTTTGGAAGTCCACAGGTAAATTGAATCTTAGGCCTAGTATCCCAGCGAGTGTAGGGGGTGAGAGTGACCCAGAGAAGATTGCGAATGTATTTATGAAACATTTTAAAGTACGGTCTCCTCTAGGCCCCTCAGTTGGGGCGCCTTTCACTGGGCCCGACGGGTGTAGTGAGTCGCCAGGGTTTTTTGTATCTGCCAAACAAATTAAAGATATTTTAAATACCATGGGCAGAGATAAATCTCCTGGGCACGACGGGCTCAATATTGAGCATTTATGGTATGCAGGTGGTCACTTACCTAGAGTACTCTCTATGTTGTATTCGTTATGTATCAGTCACTCGTATCTATCTGCGGCTTTAATGGATACCATAGTGGTTCCTGTTATTAAAAATAGATCTGGTGACATCTCTGACAAGGGAAACTATCGTCCTATATCTCTTGCTACTATAATGGCTAAGGTGCTGGACAGTGTGCTTGACTCGAGTTTGAATAATTTTATGAATCTCCATGACGCTCAGTTTGGCTTTCGACCAGGACTCTCCACTGAAGCTGCTATTCTAAGTCTGAAGCACACTGTCCAGTATTATACGAAGCGCAATACACCGGTGTATGCCTGCTTCCTGGATTTGACTCGGGCCTTTGATCTTGTATCGTATGATGTGCTTTGGAGGAAGATGGAGGACAGGGGTGTGCCAACTCAACTGTTAAATATATTTAAATTTTGGTATGCCAAGCAGAACAACACTGTGAAGTGGTCTAACGCTTTTTCTACATCGTATAGGTTGGAGAGTGGTGTAAGACAGGGTGGTCTGTCATCTCCTAAACTATTTAATCTGAACATTAACGACCTAAGCGTAGAACTTAGCAGCATGTGTGTAGGTTGTAGAGTTAATGGAGTAAGCATCAGCAACCTTAGCTATGTTGATGATATGGTGCTGCTGGCTCCGACAGCAGGGGCGATTACAGAAATGCTGCGTGTGTGTGAGGTATACGCTTGTTAGCATGGCCTCATTTACAATGTAAATAAATGTAAATACATGGTCTTTGGGGGAGATGGTATATGCTCGGGGATGTTTTATAATATTTCTCTAAATAGTCTTGGCATCGAGAGAGTGAAGGAATTTAAATATCGTGGGCATATGCTATCTGAAAATCTAAAAGATAATATCGATATAGAACGGGAACGCAGGGCAGTGGCGGCAAGAGGTAATATGTTGGCTCGTAGATTTGCTCATTGTAGTAAACAAGTGAAAATCACCCTTTTCAAGGCGTTTTGTCAAAACTTTTACACGAGTAGTCTATGGGTCAACTGTACTGTCAGGTCGCTAACTGCCATGCGTGTTCAATACAATAATGCGTTTAGGATGCTCTTGGGACTGCCTCGTTTCTGCAGTGCTTCGGAGATGTTCGCCCAAGCCCGTACAAATGACTTCTGGGCTATTATTAGAATTAAAACAAGATCTCTGTTGAGCTGGGTACGAGGCTGTCGGAACAGCATCTTGAAGACTGTGGCAGATAACCTGTCTTTGCCTATCATGAAGCATTTTGTGCGTACACTTGTCGGTTCAGATCGACGAGTGTATGCATAGAATGTTTCATGGGTTTTTATGTTTAGCTTTTTAATAATAATATACTAACACTAGTTCGTAAGTTCATACTAACATAATGATGGATTATTTTATCTGAATAAATAAATTAATAAATTAATTAAGTAACCGAATGATAATAGATGGCACTGTAGTCAATCTTATTAAAGCGTAAAATAATGTATGAATTTAAACAAAACGTAAATCGTGAATAAAATGTCTTTTAACTTACTAAACATTCACATATATATTTTGGATTATTCATTTTATTTTTGTATTCTTAACTTAAAAACAAACTATGTAGTACAAACAATACGCTATCTATTGTCCAGTAGCTTAAACAAACCAACATAGATTTTGTAAAAGTGACATCTAGCGGCAGGTTCGCATACTTGTACAAAATTATTTATTTTCGCTAGTGAGACTCGTGCTTTTGAAAGTAGTGAAAGAAAATCACGACATTCTATTTACATACGGGTAGTTCCTATAATTGTTCCATACAATGTATATTTTATTATTTTACAGACATAGTATTGTTAACATTTTAATAATTATAATTTGAAGAAAAAACTGTTTGACCGGATTGAAGTTATGTATTATTATAAAGTTACAACTATTTAACATAATTTTAAATTTATCCGACGTTTCGCGTGCTTTACAGTGTGCGTGGTCACGTTGACTTTTAATTATAATTTGACCTATTTCCATCACAACGCAATCTATTAAAACGATAAACACAAAACAGGAAGCCTTTTTATCTATTTGGGACTTTTTAAACTCTCTCCCTGGTAAAGGAAGTCACCGTGAGGAAGTATTTTCGACTTAGGGTCCTTCAAAAACTGACCCATTCTTAAAAGGCCGGCAAGGCACTCGCGAGCCCTCTGGCATTGAGAGTGTCCTTGGGCTTGACATCAGAGTCTCCTACCCGTTTGTCCCTGTTCTATAAAAAGGAAACCGGAATGCCTTAGGTCTTTAAGGCGAGTGTAGGATACACAATGCTGATCATCTACTGTTAAGAAAATAAGATCATTTAAATCCATGCATGTGTTACGATCTTCACACTGAGCCTCTTTGCAACAGCCAGACGTGATATCTGTTCGAACTCTTCTTACGCATAGCCATGAACTTAATCATTAATACGGCCCTTAATATGCAAAAATATTTATAAAGATTTCTTATCCTCGCCTGTTTTTTACATATAAAAACAAATTTCAAATCATGATTTTTTGACTACGAGAAGAATAGACTTTTAAATTAAAAAAAAACAGAAATGGCAAAGGGTTGGGCATATAGCAAGATGCACAGATAAAAGGTGGACTTTAAAGACCGATATGGAAAGAAGAAGAAGAAGATATGGAAAGGACCAAGGGGAAGAAGCAGGAGATAGCACCCTAAAAAAAGGTGGAAAAAAGATTTGGAAAAGGCTGGAGGAGGCCTTTACCCGGGAAGGGGTTCCAAAAAAAGGTATGAATGAAGTTAGGATATTAAGTAACAAAAAAAAAATTATAAAAAATCTAAACTGTATATTCAATATAAGTAAAGATTGGAAATATACGGGCTTTATTCTTATCAAATAAAAAAAATTTGTTAAATTATTAAAGTTAAACGTATCTGGTAAATTTCATAGAAATACCTACTAGAACAACAATTGAAGTCTTTTAGTGAATATTCCTTTCAATAACTTGAAGATTGAATTTATATAATAAATGAATAACACTTTCACGATACATAACTGCAAAAGTTATTGTTGATCATTCAGTAATTAAGTAGTTCCGTTAATGTGTAATAACACGTAATATTAGGTCCTTACATATGAAATTGGCGTTTTGTATGGGAAGAACAAAAAGTCGAATATTTTTAAATATAATATATTTAATTAATCAAACTATGAACCATTGTTTTCTATGCACTTTTGCCATCTCATAGGTAGTTCATTGATCCCTTTACTAACAAAAACAGTCGGACGGGAATCAATAAAATCTGTGAAGGCGATTTGGACTGCCCCATCAGAGTTAAATTTTTTCCCTTGCAAGAAGTTGTCCAAATTTCGAAAAAAATGGTAATCTGTTGGAGCAAGGTCCGGGGAGTATGGAGGATGTCTTAGACATTCCAATTGAAGCTCTTCTAATTTGGTAGCCGTCTGTTGTGCAGTGTGTGGTCTAGCGTTGTCGTGAAGTAGCAGTGGCGTGGAGCGATTGCCAAGCCTAGTTTGTTTAGCCGCTAGCTTTTCCATCATGGTTTGCAATTGCTGACAATAAATATCAGCCGTAATAGTCTGGCCAGATTTGAGAAAACTGCAATGAACAATACCGGCACTTGTCCACCAAACGCTTACAAGTAACTTTTTTGGGGTTAATTTTCGCTTGGGGCAGGATTTGGCTGGCTGGCCAGGATCCAACCATTGCGCTGAGCGCTTCCGATTATCGTAAAGAATCCATTTTTCATCACAGGTAATGATTCGGTTTAAAATACCTTCATTATTGTGCCGGTTCAGTAATGTAACACAGCAGTCGACGCGCGTTTGCCGGTTTGCTTCAGTCAATTCGTGAGGTACCCATCTTTCAAGCTTTTAATCTTCCCAATTTGCTTCAAGTGAATTAAAACAGTTTTATCACTATCACCGCAGCCTGCAGCTAACTCGCACGTGGTTTGCGATGGATCCGCTTCCACAATAGCCTTCAATACTTCATTATCAACTTGGGTCTTAGGCCGTCCACGGGGCTTGTTCTGCAGGTCGAAATTTCAAGAACGAAAACGTTGGAACCAAAAACGAACTGTGTTTTCTTTTGCAACATGACCGCCATACACATCATTCACCCTTCGAGTTGTTTCCGCAGCACTAGTGCCACGGCGTAACTCGTACTCGTAAATAATGCGATACTTTAAGTTTTCCATTTTGTAAAATGAGTGACGCAAACAGAAGAAACAAAAGAAAAAAAACAAATCAATGACGGTCATCGAAGCACAAATACATGAGTAAATAGCTGTACAAATTTGAATTTGGAATTCCTTACCAAAGAGGAGAACATCGTGATTAAAGTGGCCAGTACGAAATACGCCAATTTCATATGTAAGGACCTAATATATAAATGTAACATTCGAGTAAGATCTTTATTGTATGGCAACGTACAAGAAATTAAGAAAATGTAGAAGTATAAATACAGTTAAAAAAAACTAAAAAACACGCTTTTAAAGCACATCAAACTAAAAAGTGAAAAATTATTCCTAATTTAGGCTGAAAATGGTAATGAACAAAAAATACTGGTATTATTGTGAAAAAGCGTGGGCTGCTCAATAGACAAAAAATATGGCACAGAGCGTGTTTTTTAGTTTTTTTAAACTATATTTATTTTCCACTTTTTAGTCCTAGCAGCAATACGTGATGTCTCAATTTAATCGTATTGCTTTGTGGACTTAAAAAAAATTTCATAGTTTTTTCGAGATTAACCTATGAAATTATTATATTGTCGCTGATTCTTTATAAGTGTACAAAGTTTGAATTAAATCTGTCCGTTTAATGTGGGTCAAAATCGAGTCCGAAGGAGTCGGTTACATACATACATACATACATACATACATACATACAGATGAAGCTAATATAAAGCGTGTAAAAACTAAAATTTACTTCATGTCGAGTTCATGAAATTTTGTAAGGATTTTTATATTAAAATTTTTGTAAAAAAAATGTTGGCTTCCGTAGAACATTTTTCTAAATTTTTATTCGCGTCACGTTAACCATCTTTTTAGAATTTTTTAATTTTTTTTTAATACGATGAGGTTGTCGAAAAAATCAAAATAAATTGAGGGAATTTTAATGACATTACACCGACTTCAAATGTTGTTAATTACATATTAACATGACAAAACAAGGATTATTTCGACTACCTACACTTGTCGAAATATTTGTGGATAAACACAAACACTTAGGAAATTCAGCATACGAGTTCTAAATAAATCGGCGTACTTAAATATTAACCAACTTTAACAAATCACATACATATAAGTAATTTTTTAAGTGTTTCTTACATCTTTCTAAAACTCTACAAAACCAGTTACAGCTTAGGGCTTAAGGCAGCGATAATGCTACTGTCAACTTTAGCAAGTTCTTATTTTAGCTACAATATGTCTGTATGTCAATTAATGTTGAGTATCTTTTAACTTATCGTTTGAAGGGCGCCCATGGCTTTAAGCACCTATAAAGTAGAAACTGCATATAATTTCTTTGTGGTTTTTTTATATCAAACGGGTAGGAGGCTTACCTGATGTTTAGTGATACTGCCCATGTACACTCTCAATGCCAGAGGACCCGCGAGTGCCGGCCTTTTAATAATTGGTGCGCTCTTTTCTTGAAAGACCCTAAGTTGAATTAGCTCCGAAATACTTCAGTGGGCAGTTGGTTTCATATAGTACCTACTGGTGCATTAGGCTCATTTCTGCATGTGTTTCATTAAACACCTTTAAAGCCTATATGTCTACTTAGGAAAGCATAGAACATTTTGAACACACGATCTGAGTTACGAGTCAAGCTGCTCTAGGCTAGCGTTGCGTGTACTTTCCTCACTATGTACTAACCAAGGGCGGATCCAGCTTTGGCGCCAGGAGGGGGTCACATAGTCGTGGTCAAGTCAAGAACTTATAATTTAATTTTGATAACAATAGATACAAGTAAAAAGTAGGTATTTTATTAATGCACGTAAGTATTGCACTTAAAAATATTTATTTTTTATTGTACACTTGAAAAACTTAACACATAATATTGTGTACATACAGGTTGGTCCAACTAGTGACGTCAATAATTTTTTTTTAGATTCCTCACACCTGGGGGCATACGAAAATACCTCATGTATGTTCCGCGATTTTTGTATTTTCGAGTTATAATTTTTTTTGTGTTTTTTAATGTTTTCTGCCAGCGAGGTTTCAAAAATTCCTATCTTTTTTTGTTGTAGGTATTTTGCAGTTTTTTTTCTGTGAAATGATTGTCTTAAATGTTGTTCAAATAAAAA